CGACCTTGAGTCGTGGCTGCGTAGCGCCTTTTCCAAGGAATATAAACTTATGAAGCTCCAGCGAGCTGCAACATACCGACCCGACGCCCACCGCGCCCGCCCGCCCACAAATGGACGACCGTACCTGATGCTCGTATTGCTTCATTTGCTAAGTAAAATGTGAGCGAAGGAATGGATATGAAGAGGCCGCGGTGCTGCCGTGGTGCAGCCGTACCTACAGTAGCGGTTATTGGCAAGATGCCTACGGGAAACTCGTCCGAAATTGCTTTTTGAGTCATTAAGAACGAAGGCTTTTCTTCGCAGGTTTTTGACCGTTTCACTTCGTTTTTTCGCCATTTTCCACTATATAGCGCCCTTCTAGCAGTTCAGACCGAGCATCTAATTATGGTGCCTTCAAATGCGATCCTCAAAATCTAAATCTGGAGCGAACCACAATTTGTATAGGTGCATCAGTCAGATAGATCCTTCGCATTCAGTTTCATGGAACTGAATCCCGCATCTTCGAAGTTCGTCCCTCGAAGTGCCGGGAGCCTCGTGAAGCGCTGCAAATGTTATGGGGTGAAGTCAAAAGAGGAAGGGTGGGAGGACTCATCTTTCTAACTGTCAACTATACATAGATGAAACTGGTAGATTGCTGATGCAGAGGGCTAAGATGATTGATTTGCAAGGCTCAGAAAATGCAATGGTTTAGACCTTGCAAATTGACCATCAATCACGTTCATACTTCTTTACATCCTACGCAACACGGTCATGGTTGACAAAAAGCTTGCTAGGCATAACGAAGAGGTCTAAAATGGCAATCCGTTTCTGCTTCCGCTTCAGAAGACGCAATTCAGCTGTACTAAGCTGAAACTCGCTGACATGCACATTCAATTGCTTGAATTGGTTCAATGCACTAGAACAATGAAGCCATAAAACTGATGCGGTCAAAACCCCATTTTTATGCCGCCACGGCCACACGATGTTTTTTAACAGCAGCGGCTCGGGGGAAACAAGAAGAGCAATTGTAGTTTCACTAATTAACTGATAAACAGCTAAACATATAGTGTGGTTCGCTGCGGACGGTTGGGCGTGTCAGGCGGGATGAGTTTGGCGCGGTGCCAAACCCGTTCTCCACCAGTTGTTAAAGCGAGCAAATGATATGACTGTATCATATCGTTCGTATTACTCGTTTTCTACCACTTTTTGTCGCATGCGCGCTTCAAAGAAGGCAGAGAACGGCTTGACGGGGTGACACACTCATACTGACACGCCCAACCGTCCTCAGCGAACTGGATTGTAGCTATATTAGGTAGCTAAATCATTTTTGGAGCATTTGGAACCCGTGCGATAGCAGTAAAACTTGTTGGTTCGAAGGTATCTGAAGAAAATATTCTGTTAGAATTTTCGTACCTGAAGCCTTGTCCAGGCCAACTGCTGAAGTAGATGATTAGGCTAAGAGGAGGAACAGCCCATATGAAGAAAATCACGACCTAGAAGAAAATATTCGTACCTGAAGCCTTGTCCAGGCCAACTGCTGAAGTAGATGATTAGGCTAAGAGGAGGAACAGCCCATATGAAGAAAATCACGACCTAGAAGAAAATATTAGATTATAGAAGGGTTCAACCAAATTTATTGTACATAACAGGGTCACCCGAAGAATAACCTGGAAAACTCGAAAAGAAAAAGTAGAGGTACCTGGACGGTTCGAAGTGAAAGAATCTTTTGATGATCAAATGGCCTTCGGATCTGTAGATAGTGTGCAAAGGCCAACGCCACCAAGTGAACGATGCCTGTCAAAAGACCACCGGTGCGAAATGCCTGAAAATTTAATGGTTAGGAGGGAGTCGATCTCCTCAGTGTTGCTGCTTTCGTTGAGAAGTGACTCTTTACTTGCTTGTCTAGCAGTTCAGTGATTCCGTAGACGCGCTTTTTACCTAAGGGTTTAGACCACATAGAACGTGAGCGGAATGGTTCAGAAGGAATTTTTTGTTGGCGCGCTGCCAATCACCTGTCCCTCTGATGTAAAATGGCAATCCTATATTCCATAGAATATTGGTTGTTCATCCCTGCTTGGTCACTGCTGTATGTACAATAAAAAGTTCCGAATCATAATGAACCATGTATTTTGAGTTTTTTATGAAAGGGTAAGCAGTAATATCCCGGAAAAAGCTTCCGGGTCAATTCACCTTGCTAGGGCAACAAATGCTACAAGACGAAGTTTGAACAGGGTTTTGTGAAGGAGTGTGGGTTCTCCGAGCTGCTCCTTCGTCTCGATTCCTCAGCTTCACTCGAGTTTACGGTCTCAGCAAAATGAGACCTGTACATAATAGGAAGTAGCAAAAGGGACTAAAATGATTGCAAAATGTCCCTCCCGAGCCGAAGCCATGTTCTTTTTCAAAAAGGGCATAATAACTATCCCCATATTTGAGACTTGGTGCCAAAGCGAATTACGTCATGAGGGCTTCCTCTTCGAAAATTGGTTCTCGTCGGGTCGCGTTTATGGAGTTCGTTTTTTTTTCTCGGGCACTTCCATTATATTACATTTGTCCTTTTCTGTGTTCGCGTTTTTCCTTGTCTGGGGCCCTTTAATTTCTTTTGTCTGCCAGTAATATTGATTTTGGTCACGACTCCTCTTTCGCTCTTTCCAGTGTGGGCATTGGGTGGAAACAAAAGCAATAAATATCTTATGTTAGCGTATGAGGCATATTTATGCATGACGAAGATCGCGTCGACGCAGGTGAAGAGATTCTATACACAGCGACAGTTTTTTGTATTTATTTATAAATCAGTCTTTTAATTAGTCCCTATGCACTTCATTTCACAAAGATAAGATACGCGAGGGGAGAAGAAAAAACTTCGGGGGCGTTCGATGCGAAGGCACGCCCTCATAAGAAGTGCCTATTAACCTAGTAAATAAGGATAAAGTCTCCGGCGTTGATCAACTCCTTTGTAGGATGCGGCGCGATTCCGCTTCCATTCAGAATCGTAGGCTTATTGAATGCGATGTGGCCTATACAATGACTTGCGGTGGCCAGCCGATGTACAAGTCAGTGTTTTATCCTCCCAGACGAATCTGGTACCAATTTACCGCTCCCTCAGATAAGAAGGCTTGCTTGGCTTAGGCGGGAGTCGACCGTGATTCAAAACCGGACCGTGCGAGTAGTAAGCGCGCACTACTACACTACCTCCGCCACAACCTAGGAAATAGTGTAAATAAATGAAGAGGGAAGATGTCGTTTCCAAGCTCCATCACACTGGCTCGGTTGCAGCCAGCAGCTTACCTGATCCTGGAGATTCCCACCTTTAATCGAGAAAAAAATTTCCTTGGACTAAGGACCCTTTTGGAGGAGTTTCCGAGTGTGCGGAAAAAAAGCCTGAGCTTCATTTAGAAACACGCTGAAACCAAGTAAGATAACTCAGCTGTAGAGAGATTATACACGGAGGCGGAGAATAAAATTACTTGTATTGGTTTTATTGTATTAGTTTCTGCCTGCTTTAGCGTGAACCTCGAAGCTACGGGATGGGATGGAAGTCAAGCCTAGCCAAAGAATATGGTTCTTTATTCTTCATTTGGTCGATAATTACAATAAATTGGCTGCTTATTGGTTCCACCCCCAGCATGGTAAGCGTGCCACTCGCCACACAGTACCGCTTCCATAAAGTTGAATTCTTAAGACGCATTCTTCAGGAAGAAATCCGCAGATTGCTGTATTGTTCAAAGGCAGTTGTCACGATGATTTGGTACTTGGCCTAAAATGCTAGCAGGGCGCTATATAGTGGGGGAAAATGGCGAAAAAAACGGAATGAATCATTACAAGCACTGCGAAGAAAGCTTCGTTCTTCATATTCAAAGGAAAAAGATTTCGGACAGAGTTTTCCCATTTAGGCATTCTGCCAAAAACCGCTACGGTAGGTATCGGTGCACGTATGCCCTCATATATCCATGCAGCATCGCAGCCGCTTCATATCAATCCCTTCGCTTCATATTTTACTTCGCAAATGAAGCAATACGAGCATCAGGTACGGTCGTCCATTTGTGGGCGGGCGGGCGTGGTGGGCGTTCGGGTCGGTATGTTGTAGCTTGATAGGGCCCTTATAAGGGCACCTTCTTTGGAAAAGGCATTATGCAGCGCCTGCTCAGGGTCGCGGAATTCCGTCCTGCCAGGCGTATTGATCCTACTCGTCTTAGTAACTTATCGTGCCCATTGCCTCTAAAGAAAGCTCTTGTGCGTTCCACACATTTTGCCTAGATCGCTGTGAGCAAAAATTAGTCCCATCCACGGCTCACAGAATGCATTACACCCAAAGTGCGGGCTTTTCATCGGTGCTTTTATTGACTGTAATCGTACCCTGGAGAATAGCGTCACGTCACGAAATAACCTCGGGACTTAATCGAATTGCGCACATCAACGTTAAAGTCGCGCAATCGGTCAGCATTCGACGACAGACGACTGCTAATCACGATAAAAAATGATTTCGTCAGAGAAAATTGGCTACAACAGCAATTGGCTTCCATTTTGTGGGGAAAAAGCGTTGTACTTGGTCGTTAGCTGTGGCTAGTATTGTGCTAATTTGTGTACTTTTTATAGGGTTTGTATTGAGGGAATGTCAAACATCGACGCCATTTCCTTTGTATGGGGGGGGGGGGGAGGGTATTTTCAAAAATCCATGTGCAACCGTATAAACGATATACTCGGTGCTAATACCACTTTCACTTTGAGTGGCCGTCCTGAGAAGACCTGC